CAACAATACTACACGTAGTCACATCTTGGAGCCCTTATCGTTCCCTAATGCTGGCTTTGGCATTAGCGGTGGGGCTCCAAGTCAGCGACCCCAACGTTCGCGTCGGCCCCTCCCGAACCCGAACCCACCCCTGCGCTCGAACATCTCCTCCCTCCTCTCCGCCATGATCTCCCTCCTCTCCTCGATCGCCTCCTCCCTGCGCTCGACGAGCCCGCCCAAGAGCCCGTGGTGGTGGCGCCGCCCCTCGAATTCACCTACGGGGGGCGCGTAGCCCATGGCCGGCGGGGCGTACCCCATCGGGGGCGGTGCATATCCCATAGGGGGCGGCGCGTATGCCATTGGAGGCGGAGCGTATCCCATCGGGGGTGGGTACCCAGGGGCTGGGTACCCACCGCCTTCGGCGGGGTAGTACGGCTGCGCGAATTCCTCGCGCCGCATGTATCCGACTTCGTAGCTAGTGGGGGGCGGGGCATATGCCTGGGGGCCGCCGTTCGCATGCCAATGATCGTGCTCGGTGTTCCACCGCTGATGCGCTTCCTCCGTGTACTCGCGCTCGAGGTGCCGCGCGGCTGCAGCGTATGTGGTTGGTCTTAACGCAGAGAAAGGGGCGAGGGAGGGGGCGCACCGTGCTCCTGATATTCTCTTTTGACCTCTTCCTTATTCTTGTGTTCGTCCCATGCGTCAACCTGCGAAATACAGCATGTGAGTACAAGGAAAGATGCGAAAGAAGGGAGGGCCACGACGGCGGGGAGGGAAGTAAGAACAGACGCACCCCCTTGGTCTCGACGAGCCTGTCGATGTACGCACCAGCGAAGCCCGCGAGGAGCGCTTTGGCACCAGCGTGGTCGACGGGCTTGCCTTCCTTCTCGAGGTGATGCTCGTACGCCTTTGCGGCCTGCACGGAGACGTGTGGCGTCAGCAAGAGGGCAGCGCAAAGCAAAGAAGCAGGATGAACGACGCACCGAAAACGCGGCGGCGCCCGCGATGAGCTCATGCGAGAGCTTAGCCTTATGATGCTCCGGGTGTAGCCTGGCCTCCTCCACCTGTGCACACATCGGCGTCAGCGTTCCGTGGCGACGAAGAATAGCCACGCACCGTCCTCCAGGCCTCCTCGTGTCTCCTGTAGTCGTCGTCGTTGTCGAATAGACCCATTGTAAAGCGTAGCCTAAAGTGAGACACGTTGGATGGGCGATATATATACGAAAGCGGTGTTTGTTTGTGGAGGACCGAGGTAGGTCGCTATGCAACAGCTCCGATCGGTGGGGCCCCTGACCAGCATAATTTGTCCGATTTACACGGCTAGCCGTAGAACTTGCGCGAAACATTTTGTTGTGGACCAGGCTGGTCAACAGAATCACGGAGGAATCACGGATCACTTATCAAACTTCCCAGGCCGTCAACGAACTCTGTCATCTTCTGAAGCTCTTCTCGCCGATGCCTGAGTAGTGCTGGCCGAATACGAATACGATACGGCAAATGGCGTATCGTATTCATATTCGTATCATATTCACCTCGGAGGGCCCGTATCATATTTGTAGTGTATCGTATTCATATTCAACCCACTGAATATGAATACGATATGAATATATTCAAATATATTCTACCCCTCGCAAATTCTGATATAGTCAGTGTAGTTTACCCCCTCCGCAAGGCCCGCCGACTTCAACCATTCCTGCAAACAACATCCACAGACACTGTGTCTGCAGTCATGGACGTCCGAGTATGTTTTAGGCTTGAAGAGAGGCGCTCGACAGAGATGCCGACACCGGGAAGTCGGCCATTGATGCGCCGCAGGTGAAGGAAGAAATTCTGGCTTCTGTCTGGTTGTTTGCTGATGTGGTATCAGCTGTGCAGCAGCTTGATCCGCTTGTCGTATGCACAATTGCCGCCAAGATTGCCGCTGGGCCGATCGTGATTGACAGTGATGGCCGTAACTGAATATATTTGAATACGCCGACAGCCGTATCGTATTATATCCATATCATATCGTATTCATATTCAGTCGTATTCATATTCTTGTGGACATCCTGGGGCCGTATCGTATCTGTATGTATGGGGACGGGCACCACCGGTGATCGATCCGGCATATTTGCCTTTGTTTATCCTCTGCCAACCAAGAATTTTGCAGGTTCCGCTGTGTACCGCCTTCCACAAGCACTTTCATGGTTCCTTTTGTGGGCGGAAAATATTATGAACACTCATAAGTCACCTGTCCAATAATAATTTCATAAATTCAAGAGAGAAACAACTATTTACACGGCCCGACACCCTTTATCACTGTCTATCACACCGAGTGGAGGCCACAAGTAATATTTAAAAAGGACGGGAAAACCTCCATACTGAGTTCTCATACGCAAAAACGTACCCGGAGCAAATTTTGAGCCCAGGATTATCGACGCGACCATTTTATTATACGTATCACGTGATCGAAGCGCTGCCGCAAAACACCAACTACTTGCTCAATGCGACCCGGATTGACGATATTTTAGGCAAGGATTGCAATTAAATGCATATTATACTGATTGGTGTCAACGTATATGTGAGAATGTAGTGTATAGTAAGGGAATTACCCGAAATGCTGAAAAAATGCTGAAAAGGTCCATCGTTTTGGCAGTTCGTCATGAAACCCTCCAGTTCCGCAGAGTAAATGGTAGCTAAGAATGTTCTCCATAAAAGTACTGTGGCCGATTTTCCATTTTTTGTTTCCCTCGCTACCAACCCACCAACATTCTGGAAGATAATGGTCCCATCCCGCAAATTTGAGCAAAATGGGAAATCGAGCACAGTACTTCTATACTATGGTATATTTTGAGCAAATCTGTCTATTCAGAATTTTTATACAGCTTCACAGGAAGAAACGATGGGGGGTGCAAAACTGGAACCAACGACTCCAGCCAACCAAACACGGCCAAATCTGCCGGATCAATCATAGGCAACGCCCGTCCCCACTATGTACAACAAGCGAGGTACGAGCCGTCAAGTGTTGTAGCGTCTGTTTATAAGAGACTACCGACGAACGGCCTCCTGCTATGAATAGACACGTTAGCATCAATTCTGGGTGCGGAGGGAGTACGCATGGTGGAGCAGGGAAGGGTCGAGGAGATAGACGTACTTGGAGCAGGGAAGCCGCGCGTCGGACGGGCCCATGTCTGATGCGAGTGAGAACTGTCATTGGAGTCGTGTAAACAACAGCTGGTAAGGCCGGTAAGGACGAAAGGCGAAGTCACCTTGATTTAGGGTTCTATGTCAGCACGCCATTTTGGCTCGGGAGGACTCGAGTCGGTGGACACGCGTAAAGAGTCGCAGCTACTGAGCTAAGGAGTTCGGCAGCTGGATTTGTTGCAGACATCGGAGGATTTGGAACGGAGTGGAGACAGACAGGTAGGGTATCGCATTGGACAAGTATTAGCTTCGTATCTGCAAGGCGCGTATCCGAGTCGGCGAGTCGCAAGAACGCGCAGTAACGGGAGACAGTCGTCACTCCAAAGTACCAGCGATTCCCTAGCTCGAGGAAGCAAAAGACACGCAGCGCAAGTGTCGTGGGCATACAGAAAATGCATAAAGGAGATGCCGAACTGCTGAAGAGAGTGTCACAGGTAAGTACACTGAATGAATTGCAGAGGGATTGAAAGGATATATCAGGACAGGTGCCTTCCCGAGTAAGGACCCGACCCCGGGTTGAACGATTCCACAAACTGAAACGATGTCGAATCAATACTATATCCAGGTGCGTTTCACAAGACCGTCGTGTCTTGTTTTCAGTGGTGCGTAGCACGGTTTCGAGGGAATGTTTTGAACGCGAGCGAAGTTTGGTGGTTATGTACCGTGAGCCCAGAAGATGCTCGATTCAGAATGCCACTGAGATAAGAAAGACTTAGACTACAAGGGTCGACACAAGTAATGGTATCAAAACCTCTCCATATAGATTCTTCGAATTTCGGTACGCAGGTAATAGATCGCAGATGCGGCCGTCTTCCACCGCGTCATAAGTCCCCTGGAAAAACAACTTGAGATGACTGGAACATCTGGGGAGGAGTATTTATTACTTGGGAGCGCGCTAGCGATGGCTGGCGAATACGCGAGGGAGAACGCACCCCCGACTCGAACAGGGACCCTGTACGTCAGGCGTTATGAAGATTGACAATGAGGCATGCCAGAACGCAATCACGTCTTGTTGCAGTACGTGATCAACTCTGAAGATCTTCCCAGCTAAAAGGTTGAGGACGAAGGAAGAGACCGCTTGGAAGTTGCACAGTGACATACATAGTTGTTGCATTTGAGTAATGAATCGGATGTGGCCGGCTGCAGATGCGAAGATTCAGAGTAATCAAAAAGATCCCGGAACCAAAAAAAAAAGCTCTAGAAACCTAGTCCACGACCCGACACCGAGTCGAACGGGATTCCTGCAAACTCATAGATAAGGCATCAACGGTAGCAAGTGCGTTCCCAAACGCAATTAGGTCTTATTTCAGTGTCGGGAAACGTTCACTCGACTGAGATTTAGGAGCGAGGGGTACAGCAGACTTCGTTAATCCAGGAAGAGAAAGTCTGCAGTTGAATGTTGCGCGCAAATTATTGAGGATACACAATCCACCCGAAGGCGCGGTTAGGGAAAGAGAGAAAGACAGTGGCCGCCGCGCACATCCGGGCGTAGGAGAAAAAGCGGAATGCAAACTCAAGCATAATACGACCCGACCCCGAGTCGAACGGAGGTCCTGCAAACCGTCAAATTTACGAGAAAACGGAGGTGCGTGCAGGAACGCATCCGGGCCTCGTTTTCATTCGTGCTTGACGCTTGACGGATGGGAAGGGAAAAAAAACGAAATTTAAGCAAGCAAGTTAGGACTGTCTGCAGAAACAAATACCGAAGTTAAGTATATTGAGGCAGACGGTGAGATGAACGTACTTCACCTGTTTGCACAGTACGAACCCTCACGGGGAAAAATAGTCAGAGGAAACAGAGGACAAAAGAGAAAGAAAGTAGGGTCGAATTTCCCAAATGACCCGACCCCGAGTCGAACGGGGACCTTCTGCGTGTAATTGTACAGCGTCCACAAGTGACAGAAGGCAGATGCGGCCGTCCGCCACCGGGTCTTGGATTCCCTAAGTGATGGTCGCGATGGGAAGAGAAGAAAGTATGCGGTTTGAATGTCGACCGCAGGGGTTGGTGATGCAGGATTCGCGGGAAAGATGGACGAGAGCGCGGAGATACATACAGAGAGTGGAAGCGGTAGAGGTGGATGGGAAGAATTTAAGTCGATAAAATAGCCAATGAATCGGATTCTCGTGAACTTTTGAGCGTAAGACGAGAATGGAGTATGAGAGTCGGGAGTTGATCGGGAGCAACTGCCGATTGATTACCTCGGAGGTTGTAGCCAAACAACACGTGCCACCCCGCTTGTGCCCGACCCACCAACTTGGTTTTTCGCCTTGCATCCACTGAGCTACCAGTCCGATGCCCGATTTCGAAAGATTCGACCGCAATATGCTGTCTCTGCTCTTCTCCAAATCCTCCGAGTCAAGATCTGTATCTGTCTGCCAGAATTCCCGCCGCCATTGCTGCATGGTCCGTCGACGACTTGGATCCTTTGTTGTTGGAGTTACTCCGGGAGCGGAAATGGAAATGGAAAAGGATTCGGATTTAGGAATGATGGGAGAAGACACCGAGCCAGCGGCGCGATTCTTATGAAAGATTCCTTGTTTGAGGAGTTGGATTGAAGGTGCGGAGTTCACCTTCATCCTTCCAAGTTCCCTCGTTTACACGATTATAGTGGCACTTCTCGTCGTTCTCATTCAAGGAATTCCGCCGTTCTATCCTCTGCGCATATCTCTTAGAACTTTTCTTACCCTGCCGTGCTTCCCCGCGTCTCCTCATTGCAGGATGCCGATCGTCGAATCGTCCTGATTCAAGTTGCCTTCGTTGCCCATCCATGGCCCGCAAATCAAATCGCCAACGCTGGCTGCGAGGTCTTCGGTGGCGTCGTCTTTCTCCGTCTTCTTCTTGGTGTCAGGTTTTACAGTGGCCATGATATATCCTCCTCCAATCACGCGATCTATTCATGCACCGAGATAAACGTGTATTCGGATCTTCGTCGCGCAACAGACGCGTCGTGCGCCGTTAGGCACCGCGTGTGGGCGCTACTCCGGGCGCCTTACTCCACATCCACCGTCGCCATCTGGTGTCCGACCGCAGCCGGTGGTGCATCTTCTGGATCTGCGGTGTATGTACATGCGCTATACACCGCCCGCATCCCGCGTCCCCTGTGTCGCTTCGCACTGTCACACCCCGCCACGATTCTGGCAGGGCCAGGACTAAAACATTTTGCTGATTTGGCGTGGTCTGATCTGTCAACAGGGACGAAGATGATCATCTCAGTTAACTTGGATATTTGTGCTCGACAATTTGAGCAGACTTGATTTTGCCATTCAGAATATGGCTGTTCTGCTGCAAATCAGACATATCAGTTAGTATCCAAGACAGATGTCTCCGCACTACGGCAATGGTTCAAGCCTTCCCATGCGGGGGTGGACAGTGAGAGGACGGCGCAGCTCTTCCTGTCCCTCGCGATCGGCGCTCTTCGTTAAACGGTCCCGTACCGTACTTCCGTACCGTTGTGATCTCGTATGCTATGGCTACGATGCCGACCCCTAACCATGATCGAACGACGGCTTCTACGAACACGGTTCCCTACCGACGAACATCGAAATCAATGCGCCGGCGCTGATTTACAGGGCCCTGATCAGGCTCCTACCCACCGCACGTTACGGGGTTGGCAATCTCAGTAGCGGTAGTTCAAGCGGTATCTCAATAAGTAACACAAAATGACAAATACCATCATAGCCCATCAATACATCAGTTCTAGAGCTAATTCAAACTCCGAACTCTCAAAGGCCAACCCTCCACGGCGGCTGGCATTTAACAACCATAAACAACATAGCCACAATTGGGGTGAATATTCTTTCCTCGTCCGCACCCTTCACCCAAAAAACTTTATGAGGCCCCAAAAACCTTGAAATTGGTTTCCAACCCCAATCCCAAGTTGAGGGCAAGTCAGTATTTGCATGCGGAGGGTTTGCAGAAACCGCTCTACGGTGGTGGCTATGTTGTTTACACTTGTTAAATGCCAGCCGCTCTGGAGGGGTTGGGGCAGGAAGTTTGAAGTTTGGGTTGCACGTGAATTGATGGATGACATATATGCGATGACTATAGAGATTCCGCTACTGAGATCCCCCAACCCCGTAAGTGCGGCTGGGTAGGAGACTGGGCCCTGATCCGCAACTTTCTATCTATCTATATATATTCGCACTCCAAGCTTCTTGGTTTCATCCCCTCCCTCACGTCTCTCATGTTCCTCACTTTGCCTCCTGAACTTCTTGAAGAAATTGGAGCTCTTGTAGGTGACAATGCCTCCTTGCATTGGTCAATCTCCAACACGAACCTCTACAGCTCATTAGAGACGACCTCAAGGCGCTCCGCGGTGCAAACAAAGACGTACAAGCGGCCGTGGATCCTACTTTTTTCGCAGAGTTTCCGATCAGCAGTAGCGCATTGTCCAGGCTCAGCGAGAGTGATGTCAGCTTCCTCAGAACCATTGCTGGTGGTGAGACGCACTGGTCTCCACATGCCACGAAGCTATCTGTGTTTCCGGGAGCCTTCACTAACGTCTCCGACACGGAAACGGCCGATGTCAACGGACCTTTCGATGTGCGCGAACTTTTTGCTGCAGCGCTGAAATCTATGTCAAGGATTCGCACCGTATTGTGAGTTAAGGCCGTGTTTCATCATCCAGAATTTAAATGTAGCAACTTACATCGGGTTTGACCTAGGTGGAAGGTGGCCGTGAACGAGCCCGAGTGGGTACGACAGGTCCTCTGTGATTCTATCTGCGGCTTTCCGCAGCTCGAAAATTTTAACATTGGTCTGCTCTCCGAAACTGAGTTCACTGCTACCACGGAGATGCCCGAGGAATTCGTCGCTTCCTCTGTATGCTACAGTAAGACTGCGGCTATGTCATTCATGGTGCGCAATTATCATCTTCTGCCATTCATCTATATGGCATATCAACTACACGTCCCAGGACGATGTCATTCTCAATATTATCATTATCCGCCTCCCACCTACACGCTCCCTGCACATCAAAGCTTGCGGATGCGCCCTAGCGCCGCAGAACTCTTGCTTTGGGCGTTGCGCGGACGCTGACCAATACAGGGCGGTAGACGACATTTGCCATGGCCTAAAGCGAGCCGTGGAAGGATTCAGTTCGGAGATAATCTACTCCACAGACCTTCATGTGGACGGAAGTATTTACGACCTCCAGCCTGTGGAATCTTCCGACGAGGACGAGTCAACGGGGGAAGAACCGACGTTTTCATACAAGTGTCGACAACCGGAATGGAAATCGGACGAGCCGCGAAGAGTAGCGCGCAGAGTGTACCGATTCCCCGACCCTGAATTAGCCGCCCAGTATTACCTCAGGGCTACAAGGGGCCACTTTAATGCAGAGTAGGCTTGCATACTGTAGGGTTACTTGCATACTATAGGGTTTGTTTGGTCCATATTTCGGTGTAATTCCTCTGACATTGTATCGGATGCGTGCTGCGGGATACTTGCATATCAAATCTCCGGTTAAAACTTGACGGAGACTAACTGGGAGCCTTGGTGCGATCCTTCAGCTAAAGTATCCCATACTCTGTTCAACCTTGGTGTGCCGCACCCTTCGAGAGCCGGACGAATTAGACAGACCTGATCTTTTCCTTGTCCGTATCCCGAGGAATGAGACAGATTTCGTCGATTTCGTTTCTGAAAGGGAGCTGGTGAACCCCATGTGCGACCTTATCGGTTGGATTTTGCTGCTATCGGACAGAGTGCGTCTCGCAGAGCATCAAATTTGCGAAGGATTTAGCAGTTCCTTTGAAGCATCTTACCTTTAATCTCAACTTCCGACCCTCTTTCTCAAAGTTGGCAACATACATTGGTTCAAGATAATATACAATGCAAACAATATATCGCGCACTTCTTTTTTTCTCGGGGGTTATGATTCCTGAAATGCCAGCCTATCCACCTCGCGGTCCCCCAGGTTCGTGTATCGGAACCTTAACTTGTTATACGTTTCTCGGTACTCCTTCTCATGCAGTACCCGATTCGTCACCCCATCGAGCGCGGGGTTCCGCGTCGTTGCCATAATCAGAGAGAACGCCTTACCGCCCCCACCGCCGTTGCGCCAAAGTGCATGCAGGCCAACCGTCATACAAAGGAGTGTCACGCCGATTGCCGTACCATAGCCCGCCCATAGAGCGTGCGGTTGGTACACGAACACGTTCACGTCGCTATGACGGTATTTATCGTCAAAAATTATGTACTTACTTTTGTGCACATCTCACGTTGTACATCTACATCCAGAATTGAACATCTACTTCCATTTGAGGTACAGGCACAGTCAAAATGCACAAGGAGAAGGTACTTTAGGCACTTTTGGTTCATCTACATACTTGATAGTAGGAGTGCACATTATTGGACACTCAACTGGCCAGTATTTCACTCAGTGGCCCAATTAAATTGTATGTTCAGATTGATCATCAATCCCAAACGTCAATCATCCCAAGCCCACATCAATCCCAATCCCAAGCTCGAACCAAGGTCCAAATCCCAACCCAACTGGTTTCCCACGGGTTTCAACTCACTTAAAAACACTATTTTCTGAATGGTTCAGAGCATTCCCCTCCCCCCATCTCTGTAATTAATTATAGATGCAATATTTTAATTGACTTTGTTAGACACAAGACTATTTATGATAAACAATTCTTGGACTGAGACTACTTGCTTCAGTGGCACTCCGGGGAAACTCAGTATGGGCTAAAGACTACAGATAGTGTTTGTATACTGGATGCCTAATTCAATTTTGCACCCTGTCTTGCCAGCATCAGTTCAATTGAGCATTCATTGCTGCCGAATAGACTTGATAGCAGTCTGCCACAGCATATCTTATTGCAAGCACTTTGCCATAGGCAGACTGTGTCCGGTGTTTGAAATTTTGAGTGGGCCAAATCAGATCATGGATATTTTGGTTACTTAGTCATCTGGTGCAGATATCCTG